AATGAACCAATAAAGAAATGGGCAAGTGAACTAAACAGAACTTTCTCAAAAGAAGAAATTCAAATGGCCAAAAAACACATGAAAAAATGCTCACCATCCCTAGTCATAAAGGAAATGCAAATTAAAACCACACTAAGATTCCACCTCACCCCTGTTATAGAATAGCCATCATTAGCAACACCACTAACAACAGGTGTTGGCGAGGATGCTGGGGAAAAAGGAATTCTTTTACACTGCTGGTGGGAATGTAAACTAGTACAACCACTCTGGAAAAAAATTTGGAGGCTACTTAAAAAGCTAAACATTGACCTACCATATGATCCAGCAATCCCACTCTTGGGATATACCCAAAAGACTGTGACACAGGTTACTTCAGAGGCACCTGCACACCCATGTTTATTGCAGCACTATTCACAATAGCCAAGTTATGGAAACAGCCAAGATGCCCCACTACTGATGAATGGATTAGGAAAATGTGGTATTTATACACAATGGAATTTTATGCAGCCATGAAGGATAATGAAATCTTATCATTTGCAAGTAAATGGATGGAATTGGAGAACATCATTCTGAGCGAGGTTAGCCTGGCCCAAAAGACCAAAAATCGTATGTTCTCCCTCATATGTGGACATTAGATCAAGGGCAAACACAACAAGGGGATTGGACTTAGATCACATGATAAAGCGAGAGCACACAAGGGAGGTACGAGGATAGGTAAGACACCCAAAAAACTAGATAGCAATTGTTGCCCTCAATGCAGAGAAACTAATGTAGACACGTTAAACCGAAAGAGGCCAATAGGAGAAGGGGACCAGGAACTAGAGAAAAGGTTAGCTGGAGAAGAATTAATTTAGAATGTAACACACATGTACAGGAAAGCAATGCGAGTCAACTCCCTGTGTAGCTATCCTTATCTCAACTAGCAAAAACCCTTGTTCCTTCCTATTATTGCTTATACTCTCTCTACAACAAAATTAGAGATAAGGGCAAAATAGTTTCTGCCTGGTAGCGAGGGTGTAGGGGGAGAGGGAGGGGGCAGGGGAAGGGGGGAGAAATGACCCAAACATTGTATGCACATATGAATAAAAGAAAAAAAAATAGAAACTTCTAGTTTCAGAACTCCCATTAGGGTCAGAATGTCCCTCCTCGTGATCCTTCCCTTCCTTCTATAGGGATTGATCCCAAGAGCACCCCACAAAAACTCATCTCTATCCAAGTTTGTTACCTGGAAACAGAGGCCTCGCATTTGTCATCCATCATTGCTTCACTTTACTTATTTCTGAACATGTATGAAGGTAGTAGTTGAGAAAACAGCCCCTATCCCAAGAGGTAAGGGAGCTCATAGAGTAAACAGAGGCTATGGGCCAAGACTTCAGGTCTCTAGTGAATTTGCTCCTCTGCCACTTGCTGAGGTGGAGAGCTTTTAGGGGGAGCACACAGATCTCGTTAGACCCCCTTCTAAGCAGCAGGTCTCCAAATGGGTGGGGACCGAGCACATGGAGTGATGCTGCTCTGTGGAAATGCATGGGATACTCATTTATTACACTTACATCACAAGATGCATAATGTAGTCTGGAATCTGCCATCTTTTAGAAGCTTCCAAAAATAAACAAGTGGTTACCAGTTGTCCAAATTTTGAGAACATTTTAAGGAAGAAAATCTTTGAACTGTCCATGAGCTTATTTTTTTTCTACAAAATGAGGGAAGGACATCCACAGCTCAAATAGAACCACAAGGCCCCTGGAAGCAGCCCTTGAAGGAGGAGCAGAGCTTGCAGAGGGATGCTGTGGAGGGGCTCTCCTGGCCTGCCAACCTGAGTTCAGGGACGCCATAGCTGTGGGGTAGAGTTTTCTCATAGAAAGAGAGGGGACAGTTGACCCAGTACCCTGGCCCTGGAGGGAGTGCACAGCAGGGCTTTCTGAGATCCCAAGCAAACCCAGCCTACCACTGAGGCTGTGGGTTAAAGGCCCAGCCTGCACTGCAGATACTGTCCTCACTCACTTGGACATGCTTTCTGGGCACTTCAGACCCCTTCTGACTATGGCGTGCACTGGTGCTAAGACTATCCCCAACCGCTTTACAAGGATGAGCTTGTGCAAGCCCTCCAGTTAGTCACCCATTTTACAGAAGAGAAAATGAGGCAATTACCAAGATCCCAGAGTTGGTGAGTGGAGGAGGTGGGATTCCCATCCAGCCTCTAATTCCAGGACAGGAGTTCTACACTGCTACCTGATTTAGCTATGACTTGCACCAGCAAAAGATAAAGGCAGTAAGGCAAATAGAAACACCTGCAGAGCCAGCTGGGACTGGGACATGATGCAGGCTTCCATGAAGACGAGGATGCCAGTCCTAGCTTGAGAATGCCTGCCCGGCTGCAGGGAACGTGGAGTCCACTGCTACTGGACCCCAACTTTAGTCCCTCTGCAGGAAGGTGGAAGGCCATCGAACTCTGCAAACATTGCAAAGAGGGCCACAGGGACACTAGGAGGATGTAGCTGGCCACTCTCCTTCATGTGACAAAGGGCAAAATCAGAACTGTACCCCTTGGCCACCAAACCTGATTCTGGTCACCTCTCCCTTTGCCACCTGGGGTGCTCAGCAAATGTAAGCCCCTCTCCGTGTGTTTTAAGCTCGAAATACTAGGAGGCAAGCCTCATGTACACATGTGTCAACTATCAAGGTCAATTATAAAGGTATGGCACTTAGTAAAGCCACTAATGAAGGTGATCCACAGGGAAGGCGGGGGCTGACCTGGTATTGTGAAGCTGCTCTGTGAACCTCAGAATCGCAGGATTTCCCAAGGACTCAGGAGAGGACCCTGCTCTTAGACAATGAGGTCCTTAGACTACATGGCTGCCTGCTCTCTCCTGGAAGTCCCCATCGTCTGGGGACTTCACGACAGCTCTGAGGGCCAGTGAGTGATGAACTGTGCTGTATTCTGGGATGGGAAAAGGGGTGGGTGCCCTGCCCAGCACACACTTTGGCTCAGGGCACATCTGCTACCCTGAATTGCATCTGACCCTGATGCTTAGGCCATTCACGCCTCAAGTCCATTGTCGGGCCAGCTGAGAATTCTCTTCTTTCCTTTCGGCCGACTTCCTCTAGTTTGGGTTTCTGTGACTGCAGAGGCAGCTGCCGCCCGTCCCTCCATGTAAATCTTTCACGAGTTGCACAGTGTGGATGTTCTTTCCTCTTCCCTGGCCCCAGTCCTCCGGCCCTCCCCACAGGACATATTTTCCGTCCCTTTAATCATCTTTATTGCCTTACTTTGGACACTGGCCCGGTCCACATCCTTTGCGAGGTGTGCTGACCTCCCCGGAGCATTTGCTACCACGAGTGAGGCTCAATGGAAGTTGGACTTCCTGGTCCTTGCATGGCATGTGGGCTCCTCTCCCTACATTCCTGGGTCATGCTGACGCTTTCCGGAGGCCTGTCCCTACCCAGGGAACTCCTACGGAGCGAGGTGACCTGGCCCAGAAAGGGAAATGTGGGCTGATCTGGATGGCCCCTGCCTGGGCCCAGAGAAGTCTTTTGGTTTAGAAACTGAGGCTCTCTCCACACCTCTGCTACACATTCAGGGCAGTGGGGCGGGCAGGACATGAAGCCCCTGCTTTCTCTGACACTCTTCCAGGCCCTTGTGAACCCCATTCCTCCTTTAGGGGTGTTTCCTATTTCTTTCCTCTACCAGGAACCCAGAAACTAGGAATTAGCCGATGTGATGTGGCCCTCACAATACAATTATCTGTACCTTGGTCTGGCAGGAACAGGGCTTGGTCCAACGCTCTGGGCTCAAGTTTCCTTTCTCATGCCTCGTGGTTCCACATAAAGTGCCTGGTGGTTCTGAGTCCTAAGCCAGGGCTGCCTGCCTCCCCGCTGCTTGGACACTTGCTGTTCTCTCTGAATGTTTTCAGACCCACTAAATCCGCTCCTAGATGACAAGTCTTCTGGTGTCTATCCTCCAGTCACCCTGAGAGCTGGGACCACACCTATTATTCCTTGTTCAGAGGGAAGGGTCAGACACAGGTTGGCCACAGCCCTTGGTCTCAGGAGGTACTCTGACAGCACGAGGGCAGGCACTCCTAGTTTTCTGAGTGAGGGATGTCAGCTGGCTGTTTCTTGTCTCTTAGAAAATGTTCTCTGTTCATTAAAGGTAAAACCACAAGCCCTCACCCTTGTCTAAGAATAAATTCCCTACAGGGGAACACCTCATTTTAATTCCTCAGGCATAAGCCTTTTTGTTCTTCTTTTTTTGGATTTTCATCCAGAAATAATTTATGCACGTTCAAGAAAAAAAAATACACTGAAACTCTCCCCCTTTTGCACAAAAGGCCACACAAGCAAATGTTGCTCTGCACCTAAGAAAGCCTTATAGGAAATAAAGGAAAGCCTTGTAGGAACTCTGCGTTCCCTGGGTGCTCAGTCTCAGTTGCTATCCACACAACTCATCGCTCCTTTCCTGTGCCCTAGCTGTCCCCCAGAACTCTGAGCTCCCTGACTGGAGTGGCTCCAGGCACTGGGAGTAACAGCACATTGCACTCCCAGTGCAATATACCGATCTGTATATTGCCTGTCACAGTACACTGGCTTGCACAGGACAACTCCCAACCACAGAGGAAAAGGAAAGACAGATGGCCTTGGACTTGTGAGCTCAGGGAGCCTCCTGGAGGCCATGTCTTTAAACACGCAGCCTGCAGGTCCTGTTCTTAGGACACTATTGATGCTTGGAGGTCAGTGGAAAAAGACCATGGATCCACAAAACTTGGGCACTGACCCCCCCAGGAAGAGAAAGTGGTGACAGTGGGCTCTCCACTGGTCCCTGGGCCAAAGAGAGAAGTGCAGCTTGTGCTGCTACATGGAAATCCCCAACTGGCAGCTGAGCCTACCACATTGCCAACCTCATCTCATAGGTGCCAGCCTACAAGCACAGCACAGAACAGAATGGGGCTGCCACAGGTGCCGACGTGGGAAAGAATGCCAAGGCTCTCGATGGTCTCTCCTACCTTCGATCATTTCTCCTCCTCCGGAACAGCTTCTTGGTGTGTGCAATCTCCGCTTCATGGGGTATTGGGTGGTAGCCCTGTGACATGGGGAGAGACAGTGTGTGAATAACTTCAGGAGAGCGGAGAGAGTCTGGGACCGTGCTATGACAACATTCAGGTCAGGAGGATGGAAGAAGTTAGACTCACCGAGAAATCCAGACTGGAAAACAGAAAACACTACAGTAAGCGAACTGCCCTCCAGGTTAGGATGCTGAAATTCCTCAAAGAATATGGGTGGGACCAAGGGACCTCAGAGTTCCTCATGTCCATGCTCCCAACAACCTGAGGTCTTGTCATTCAGGTCGGGAGAGATGAGTGAGCTGTTCCAGGTCTTGCAGAAAGGGGACAGCAGAGCAGAGGCCATCAAGATCCCTCATGCTTCCTCTTGGTTTGGGACTAACCTTGTGGAGCCCCCAATCCAGACAGCTGCATGTGCTTCCCTATAAGGGACAGTCACACAACCAGTGGCTATAGAACTGAGACAAGCTCCTTCTACAATGAGTTTCCTAACTAAATGGGAGTGTTACCACCTTCTGCTCTGGGCTGCTGAGAGGACCAGAAAATGAAGTCTGCCAACTCTGAGCCTCGGGCCAAGGAAAGGTGTCTTCTAATCTTAGGCCAGACTCCCCTGTACAATTTTACCCATGATCCTCTTTCCTTATATGACCTGGGAAGAATTTAGGGGAAACATGCAAATAGCTAACTGCCTTTTTAAACTTCAAAGGAGAGACTGGGGAAATTCTAAGGATGGTTTTTACATGTTGCCTCCATGGCAACAACTTATACATTGACCTCAAGGTTGGAGAGAGACCTTATAATTAAAATGCAGGTCCAACCCTACCAAATGGCCCAGGCAGAACTATTTGCAGAAGTCAGGCCAATGGCCAAGTCTGTCCTTATCATCGTATGACCACATCCACCCCTGACAAGGAAAATACGTTTTGGTGGGGACGTGGCCAAGAGCACTGCCATTTTATTACTGAGTCCAGAGTAGGGTAGGGGGTACCTAGGGGCCTGGAGGAAGGGGTGGTCCTGGAAACCTAGGTACAGGTTCTGACACAGAGCACAGAAAGGGTGACTCCCACACACTTAGGCACACACAGGGTGAGACAGGAACCACAGAACACATCCTCTGGAGAGTGGTCAGTGGATGCTCAACTCCAATTTTGCAAGGTAGGGAGATAGAGGCCCAGAGAGGTCATGCAGAGAGTAAAAAACGGCAGCTCTGTGGACTGGAATCCTCTGCACTGGGGGTCCACAGGGAAGGTCCCATTGGTCTATCTTTATAGGGCTCAGCCCCCAACCGAAGGGAGGGGTGGGAGACGGCAGTGATCCTGGCTGTGCTAGGAATGGACAGTTTGGGGGAGCTTCCCAGAGGAATAATGGGAGAACAACAGGTTAGGAGGAACAAAGGAAACTTGGAGCTATGGTGATTTCGCCCAGATATCTATTGAGTCTAGGCAGGGAAGTACACATTCCAAACTTTATTTTATTGACAGTCGTTCCCTCCTGCCCTGTTTTTCTTGCCTCCAGTAAGATAGCCAAAAGGCATGAATGAATTCCGGGCTCCCAGGCAGCCACAATGGGCCTCTGGGGCATTTAGGATGTGCTTTGTTTAATGGTTTTCTCAAAGGATATTATTTGTTTTCTTTAATACAAAACACAAATAAGGAAAGCCACGAAGTCTTCCCCTCTCATTTCCCCTCTCCCACCCTGACCAGGCTCTGGGCTGACCCCCCTCCCTCACTCCTTCCCTCCCTCCCTTTGTCCCTCCCAGTCTGTGCAGGTCACTTCAGGAACACACTGGGTGTGTCCCCAGTAGACAATGGACAGGAAGCCAAGGCTACCTCCCGAGCTGGCGGCAGACAGAATCTCAGCTCTGGGGCTGCACAGACAGTGCTGCCCGCAACACTCAGCACAACCCAAGCCCAGAGGTGCCAGACTCCTCGGTCCAGCCTCAGAGTCCTGGGCTCTGACCCTCATCCTGGCCTCTCTCCCTATTGGCAGCAGCAGTTGGGGAGCTGCCCTCTGGACATGACCATAGCAGGGCTCCTAATTCGGCCTCAGAACTACAGGAGGCGATCATTCAGTCACAAGAATAAATGTCCCCTACTCAATCTCCAGGAAACAGCTACCCTGATCTGTGGCCAATGAGATAGGGCTAGGCAGGGGCACCCAATAACAGGAATCACCAACAAAGAGTCTAGAAAGGAACCTTAGCTGGTGCTCCTGGTGGCCTGGCCAGGTCAGATGGTGCTCTAGCTTCAGATCAGAGATGCACTGTTTTGCAGAAGGCTCTATGCCTCCAGCAGAGAATGGGAAATTCAGTAGGCTTAACAGAGCACCCTTACTTAAGTTGCTCCAGTGGTCCTAACTCTAGTTCTTTGCTCAACAAACTGGTCCGCTCCCTTCTCTGAGAGTCCCATGAGGACGTCAGTCCAGTTGTGAATGCCTCACCCATGATCAAGAGCACCAGACTTCAGCTCTCCCAGGTGGCTCTTTGTGTATGTGGTTAACCTGAGTCACATGTGCCTCTGTGGCACTGCCCCGGACTGCCACTAGGCCCTGCCTGGTCTTCCTCAACTTCTGTATGGGAGAGACCTGGCTGCAGTTTCCCCACTGTCTAACACCTGACTACTTTCCATAGCTAAGTGGACCTGAGAGAAAAATAAACTATATAAATTGAGACTTTCTAGGGAGAGAGAGAGGAGAATCCTTCCACATGCTGGGCTGGCAGAGTACAGGTCACACGCACACACATGTACACTCCCACATTGGAGGTCAGCACAGGTATAAGGCACAGCACTGAGGACCATATGATATTGCTTTGTTTGCAAAACAGCTATATAAAATCAGCCTGCCTTTTCAGTCTCACACAAGGTGCAGTGGTGTTTCCAAGGGATTAAAGACAGGCCCAGTAAAGGTCTGGCCTGAGAACTTGAGCCCCAGACAGTGAATTATTCCAAGCTGGGAGTGTTGAGATGACAAGTATATATATTAAAAAAAAAAAATCTATCTTAAGTCTGCAGGTGAGGGTAGTTAGGACGGGTGGCAAAACAGAAACACCAAGCCGAGAACAGATATGCTAGTGGCTCTGTATATAAAAGCCAGTGTGATGAAAGTGGTAAACCTCCAGAGATACAGGCCCTCACCCACCACCTACCCACGCATCTACTGCCTATTCCAACGTCCCCCACCCTTCCAGCATGTGCCCATCTTACATGTGTGTTTTAGACACTGTGAATATGGTACTGAAAAAAAGACAGGCAAAATGCTTGTCTTACAGAGCACACATTCTATGAAAGGAGAGAGTGAGCAAGCAAATAAGTAGGTGTGACAAATGACAGTGTTTTGCTATGGAGCAAAAGCAGGCAGGGCAAGGGAAGAGAGGAGCAAGGGTGAGGTGGTGTGGTTAGGAAGACCTCTGTTAAGGGAATAATTGACGCCCATCCATCTATCCATCTACCCATCCCCCCATCCTTGGTTCTTCTTCACTCAACAAATGTTGAAGGCCTATCATGTAAGCTTGTGCATCAGATGGAGAAGACCAGGATCAGTAAGACCCAGGCTCAGACTAGATGGACTCAAGGGAACACAAACAAGGAAGCTGATGTGTGCCATAGGCCACAACTCAGAGGAAGGACCCAGGACTTGTGCTTGGAGAGGCTCAGGGAAGACTTCTCTAAGGGGGGGCAATACTGAGCTGAGTCCCAAGGCCTTGGCCAGGGGCAGGAGAGGAGAAACCCAGAGCTCTAGGGGCCAGTGCTGACACTCCTGACATAGTCCTCCTCACCCCCAGAGTAGGTAGAATTGTGTCCCTCCAAAAGACTTTCTCCTTGTCCCCAGACCTGGGTCCTAGACTGGCCTGGTGGCAGAATTCACTCCAGAGATGAGCCCCAAGAGGGCAGGGACTCATCTGTCTCTTTTACCACAATACCCACTACTATAAGGGTGCCAGACACATGGTAGGCGATAATGAACTATTTGTTAGAGAAAGACAAGAAGTGGGAAGGAAGGAACTGGAGCCTAAATTGGTTGAAGCTGCTCTGCTGAACAGTGCTTTGTGGAAATATCAATGGTGTTGTGGTGGCAGTGGTGCCATAGAAGGAGCTGCTGGATCTCAGCTGGGGCCACACTCCCCCGTTCTCTACCTCACCCAAGGCAGGGCCTGCGGGGCTCATCTTACCCCTGTGGGGCTGAAAGTCTGCAGTCAGTGAGTTGGTAGGGCTGTGTTGGGTGACATGTTACCCTAGCCTTCTCTGCTCTCTCTCCTCCTTTGGGCTTCATGGCCACCAGGTGGTTGCAGTGGGAAGCCCTTGGCAGCTTCTGTACCTGACTCCCTTTCCATCTGCCTCAATGAGGTTTAGCAGTGGCCCCCAAAGAGCTCAAGTCCATGGCCTGCAGCTTCATGGAACCGAAAGCCCACTTAACCTTCAAGGAAGATTTTCCTGGTATTCCCATGACCTTTGACTTCTGGCCCATTGACCAGACCTGGGTCCAACAGAAATCATCCCAGTCTAATTCTCTCACAAATCTGTGTTCTTTCTCTCTCCCACCCACCAGCTCTTGAAGAATGAAGAAAGCATTACACAGATAAGAAAGTCTCCTGGTGTGCTCAGTTCCTCCCAGACTGCAGAAGACCTGGACCAGCACTAAGCTTTCTTATGAAGTAATGTGAACACAAGATTCTGGAGCTGGAAGGCAAGGTTGAGCAACCCAACCCAGGCTGAGGGAGTGGCAGATGTCTTGAGCAGGGAGTACCAACACCAGCCTCCTGGCCAGGTAAACCCTGCTCTGTCCCCATTGACACACCTGTCTGCCCCCTTTGTATTTTCACCAGGGCTTTTTGGAAACCTTGTTCATGAGCTAGTGTATTTGACCCCACCAGACTACTGTCCCTCCCAAAAATGACTATTAAATACATGGGAACTGAGACTTCCTTCTCTCTAGAACACTCCATGACCTGGTGTGGAGGGACTTATGAAGTGCCTGACACCAAAGAAGTACCAGCTGCACGCTGGTTCTGCCATGCCTCTGG